AACGCTTCTCAGAGTTTTCATCAAAGCAGGGAATGGAATTCCGTTCTTCTTGGCAAACTCCTTTAGATAAGGTGTCATCCAATCGGTATTGTAATTATTCGCATCTATTTCAACTAATTCCGCGTTCAATAACTTAATCGTATCTAGAATAATGTAATAAGAGATAATCTTTGACAAGCAAAACTCTATATTCTTTGTATAAAAAAAATATTAATACCTGAATATCCATCTTGCTTAACATTTGGTATAGAAGATGGAATAATCCACAAAAATGCTAAATCTTTTTTGACGAGATCATTGAGTGTTGTTACCCTGTTTTGTGCCCATTTAAACGTTGTTATTATATGATCATCATCTAATTGCAAATTTCCATCATTTTTCCTAAAGTATATAGAAAGAGTATAAGCAAAATTTAAAAAGGTAAGATTACTAGCAATGCTATATGCGAAATTAAATATACCATTCTGGAAAAGCTTCTGACACTAATTTCTTAATTCTTTCAATAAAAAATTTATGGTTTCTTTCATTTTGTAGTAAATTTGTCATTTCCAGTTTGTTAAATTCCCACAATTTATCAGGCATAAGTTTGCCAGAACTTGGTTTTATTTTAGTAATGTCAAACTGCAATAAAAAATAAAATACATCAATAGAATAAAATAAGTAAATATATTTTATATATTTTATTTATATTTAAGAATAGGAAACGAAAACTTTGTTAATAGAAGCAATTACCTGTTTAATTAATTCCTGATAAGTGTAAAGATCTTGACTCTCTTGTTCTTTGTGGAAACCACCACCAGCTCCTATCACATAATTTAATAACGCTAGTGGAAAAATACCTTGTTTTCGGAATGAATCAATCTTTATGTCACCTTGTCTTTTTGATAATTTAGATCCATCTGAATTCATTATTAAAGGTAAGTGTCCATATATAGGAGGATTCCAGCCAAATGCTCTGTAATAGATACAATTTGTAATGTAATTAATTATAAGAATTCACAAAACATATTTAATTATCTTGAATAAAACTACTCACTTGTGAAGCATAATATGTTTAGGTGTAGAAACTTGCCATTCAACACCACGTAAGACATGAGATATCTCCATAAAATGATCATCGACTACATTTGCAAAATGGTAAGTAGGGTAACCATCTGATTTTATAATAACTGGATCTCCCTCAGATTTAGTGATATCATGGAACACATCTCCATAAACTAGGTCATGAAAGACTTCCGATGTTGACGTTAACTGAGACATTCAATAAAGCAACTGCTATAAATCTATAACCATTAGTCTGTCGATCTGTTAAGTTTAAAAGACATACCTTAAATCTAATACAATAAGCCAAGTTTTTCCTAAGCATTTCTTTTACTTCATCCTTAGTAAGATGTCGACATCTGTTATCGTACTTAGGTATTTGTCCACATTTCATCGCCTCTTTCCTCAGCAGGTCCAGCCTTTTCTCTGTGCAAAAGCAATAGTAAGCAGATCCGTTGTTCAAGAGTTTAAGTACTTGTTCCCTAGAAATAATATAAAAGAAAAATAAAAAAAAATATAAATTAGAAATAACAAATGCTATATTCAATTTCTGCACTCAATTTACCATGATATTCTTCTGCAGATTCTGTTCAATCTCTACTAGCATTCCAACAAAATTTATAGCAGATATTTTGTTTTTGACAGATTTGCAAACCTGGGCACCAAGATATATACATACTTATATAATTCAAGCCTTGATGATTGTACATAAGGACCAACAGGGCCACCCCTGGTAGGATCTTCGTCGGATATAATCCCTGCCCATAGCAAATCATCCTGGATTTTTTCTATTGCTCCAGAAATTGTCCTTGTTTGATCGGTGTCCTCGATCCTCAAAATAAATGCGCCATTGTTGCTGCGTGCAAATAAATAATTGTACAACGCGGTGCGCAATCCTCCTAAGTGCAAGTGGCCTGAAACAACACATGAATAAGGATCGGCTCTAGGACAGCTTACAAAGGCAACGCCCAGTATTGGTACTGGTGTTTTTTCAACAAAAATGAATCAGCAAAAAAGAGAAATATAACGGTATAATATAAACAGTGTAATGGTTATTACCGGTAGGGCTGGGTGCAAATCTAACCCTCACGTGGTACTTCTTGAAGAGACGTCTCTGCAACAGCTGCAGACTTGTCGCGCGGAGTATATTACGCTGCATCTTTGCTAATGCGTACACCTGATGACTCCGTCAACGAGTCACAAGGAAACAAGGTCGTGCCACGCAATGCGGATTGCGACGATGGAACCCAATGGAACCCAAAGCTCACTCCGTCCGATTTCCAATTGATTCAAATCGCAATTGGAATGATCGGAAATCTCGAACGGCTTCAGATTTCGTTTTCGAGTAACGACTGTTTACAGTTTATCGTTGTTGGTCTGCTTTTGTTTCAGGAGAACACGGATCCGTCGCTTTTCGATGTTTACGTCAAAAAATATTGTTGCGTTTTAAAATTCGCGCCACTCTAGAATTTCGCATTTAGGTCTGCTTTTTTTTTCCACCTCAAGTTCTGAACCTGGTGTACTCATCTTTCTTTTTTACTGAAGAAGTTCTTTTTCTCTGCACAGTGCGATAAGTTGAAGCGAAACAGATATGTATGTTTGGGCGAATTTTTTAATTCATCGATTGATCGCATGATGCGCAGATGCAACATGTTGCACTTGCGCATCATGCGCAATCGATGAATTAAAAAACTTGCCTTTTGTTTCATTTCAACTTATTGCACTATGTGCATCAGTTCACATCAGTTCAGACAATGCAGCCAAAAAGAACAAGCTTCTTGTTTTTATACCATGGGTATTTTGGCAATAAGTTAAAGTGAGATAGTTATATTTTGTTTTATTCTAACTTAGAATGCACTAGTTTGTCGCGTTGCTTGAAAATGCTGAGTGCAAAAAGTACAAGCAACGCGACAAACGTAGAAGTAGGCTGAAGTGAGCTTTCGAATAAATTCAAATATTCGAATTCACACGCGACTTTTAATCAATTCTTACGCTAAAATAATTATTTCACCTATATTTAATAATTCTGAACAGTAGCGTACTCTCGAGAGCTGCGTATATTTCTATTCTTGCTTATCTTCAAAGCCTTGAGGTACATACACTTGAGAGAATGATATTTGATAAAAATAAAATAAAGAATAGGCTAATAGTAGTCTGTGTTTTTTTATTCCTACATTAGAACTTTCTTTTTTATTTTTGTTAAATATTAAATAAATATTAAACGTAAATAATATATACCTTTTTCACTTTAAATTCTAAAAGTATATATATTAATTTAGCTATAGAAAACAGACTTTAATGCTTGCTTCCATCGATTAACTTAAACTCGGTGTTCAGTTCTAAGAATTAATTCTTAGAATTAGAAAAAGATAGAATAAGTTGAACATAAACTAAAGTTTAAATTGTGTTTCAAAATTCACTGCTAGCGCTAATAATCTATAGTTTACGATATTTTGTGTAATATATATTTTTAGTATATATATATATATACTAGCAGTGATCTTGGAATGTAGCCTATTATCTATATTAGTGGAAACATATAGATTCGAGTTTATTACGTTCATCTGGTGTTTACTTTATTATAGGGAGAATAATAGAAGATAATTAGGAAGAAAAAGATACATTAACTGCTGTTGCAAAATCAATCATTTTAATTCTCTTTTCCTTTCGCGTCATAAATATTACATTTAGATTTAAATGTTCCCGTTCCAATATATCTCTTTTTCTCTTCACTAAACCTATCGCGTCAGTGTTTAAAACGTATATTATACATTCATGAACTTCGTAAACAAGAGCCCTGTTCTTTTTCGAAGAACTAATACAATAAATTAGAGTAAAAAAAAACTGTAATATTTTATCTTATTCTAACTTATCGTATCAGTGATACATTAGTTCAGAAATTAAAATAGAAAAAGAACAGGTCTAATCACTTTACATAGAACAGCAATGTATTCGACAATTCTCTCTTTACATAATCTCCTGGTAATCCCGTATATATATTTACACCTTAGTTTCAATATAATCGCGCTAAGCCCATATCAAATTATGCATTGGAGATTGAGAATTACAAATTAAAACTTAAAATTCGGCCCATCAAACAATTTTCAATTTAATTCGTTTCATTTTGATTGATTAAATCTTAATCTCCAATTCACAATTTTCAGTCTAATATGGGCTTTACAATTATAACGCGATGAATAAGTGATCGACTGATCTGGGACAGTGTATCTTGCGTACGATCGTTATACTACACACGGTCATATTTTACACTTTCCCATCACCGATTCAGGCAACTTTCGAGTACGTAAAGGTTACGAAAAGATGCTTAAGAGAACATAATATATACATTAATGATACTGCACGTTTATGTTTAAAAAAAAAGATGTACTAAACTAGAAAACGATTGCAACGATTACATTTTGCTTATGCAAAACACATTCGAAAATAAAACACAGAACCATACATTAATCGCCGTGCCACTTTAAGCGCCGAGATTTGGCGAAACTTAATTCTGCTCGGAAACGTTTTTTTTTTTTTCATCGTAACGCATACTTAATATTTGTTTTACGTGCAAAACAACGAGGAAGATTGAGCAAACAATTTCGTAAACCATTAAGCTTTTTACAAGTCTACACCAGCTGTAAAAGCAGACCTATATACATAATCTTCCAAACGAAAAAAAAGATTACATTACTTTATAATACGATGTATATTTTACATATAATTTGCATATAATAGAGTTTTCTTCCTCGTCGTATTAATCTAATATCGAAAAAATAGGCATATAAGTATGTATAATATTATGTGTGAGTTAGGACTGTAAATATGATTGGAATATTAATCTGAAATATTTATAAATATGCAAATTAATTAATTTTTATAAACTATTCGATTATTCATATTTGTAAATTTAGAATTCAAATTATTTATACATATAAACGTAGAATATTTAATGCGGGTATATCATAATATCCATGTGTTTACAGCCCTAGTACAAATAAATATATATAAGTTCTGTATATTGTAATTATATTGACATATCGTATGTTTTTTCAGATTCCGATCAACAGTTTGGCATGAATTGAAAAGGACAGATTAGAGATCACGAATTGGAATGCTGAGACGGTGTGAGGCTGCCGGTATGCTCAGGGCTGTGCTTCTGCTTTTTCCTCTTTTTCTCCTTCTTCCGCTTCTTCCTAGCTTCCTTCTCCTCGTCGTGTCTTTTCTGTTTCTTATGTTTCTTTTCGTGCGTATCGGAACCACCTACGTCCGTAGTGGCTGTCTCCTGTCCACTGAGCACTTCTCCAGGCTTGTGCTTGTGTTTTTTATGTTTATTTTTGTGTTTTCTCTGAGGAGCTTGATTTATGTATCTATATTGTTCCGGCAGCTGCAAAATTACATTATGTAACTTAATGTGGTGTTTTGCACATATATATGCATCATTTATTTTAGAAAAAATATATATACTATTATAATTTAAATTATAAGTCTCAAAGACCGACAAGAATATATCAATTAAAAGAAATAATCCCATTTTTGGTTAAAGTGGATCTTAGTGCTTAAATATTTTATATGAATTTATATACATATTTGATTCTACATATATATATTAATATTAATAACTATATTTATGTACATATTAATATTTTAATAAATAAAAATACTTACTGGGCCAGGATGCAATCGAAAACCAGCAAGCTGTACACTCGTTAAAGGCAGTAGTTCTTTGCCACCTATGGGAGGTTTCTCAATTACCGATCTTAAGGAGCTGAAAAAGATAAAAAAAAAACAAAATATAGAATAAACACTTTTAATGTTTGAATACTGTTGCATAAGAACAAACGTTAAATTACCTATTATCTTGATGTCCAGGTCTATCTATAATACCAGGTAAATTTGGTAAAAAAGATGATAATTGTTCCTTAAGCTTTTTACCACTAAATTTGCTGTAGGAGTGTTCCAGGCCATAATAGGCCATCAAATTTGTTGCTCCAGTCAGTTCACTTTCTCCTGAAAAAAATAATACATATAATTTTAAGTTTTCCTAGTTACATTTATAAGATCATATCCAATTCGTAAAAAGACTTGATTACAAAAGACTTGTATATATTATACATATTGATCTCTTTTTCTGCGTTCGTAACTTTACCTGGGGGTTCTTTCATCAAATAAAATGGTCCACTATGAACAATGGAAGGGTTTTTTCCAAGGGAGATAGTTGTCTTTAGTGTTCCTGTAGAATCTTGACGAGATACTACTGGAGACCGTGCTCCCCTTGGTGAGGACTTCGGTGAGTATTGCTCCACTTTGCTACGAAACTGATCGCCCATCATCATCCTTGCTGCTATAGTTTATCGCACTTTCACCAAAAGGTAATAAAGGCCACCTTTTTCAGGTACAAAGAGTACCGAGAAACAAAGGAGCAGTGAGAGGCAATTTATAATTTCACTGTAACCGGCAAGTCGTAGATGTTTGTCGAACTGAATCACTAGGTTCAACACCTGACTCGATTAGAAACTAAACAAAATCGTGCTTCTTCATCTGCAGTTTCTACATTGTGACGCGAACGTATCCGACGTCGACCTGGTTCACTCGTGAGAAAAAGGATCGCTTGCATCGCAATACGACTCGAAAGGTACGTCGACAGTCCGGATCATTTCTCTTTCACGACTCCCTCATCGGTTTCTATGACATCTCGCTAATGAGATGAGAACATGAACTGTACCGATTCACCGCTAACATGTTTTTTCCCGTTACTTTCGCTAGCTATAATAATGCTTTTCTACGGGAAACAAGTAATCTCGGATTCACTCGACGCAACAGACTTGTCTAATGTCCTGCACAGTTGCACGCAGCCGTTACGCGCGCAGTGCCAGTGCCGCGTACTCCACTCTCCACTCCACCTCCACCTGCCCCCGCCGTAGGTCACATGTGTTTCGTGTGGATATGCATGTAAGCTCGCCGATCTGTCGAATGACCGGAAACGGACAATGGACAAGAACGCGTTCTAATAATATTTGTGATTGGCTTCTGATAACAGTGTAGTCCAATCAAATTTTCGCTCTAACAGAAAAGCAGCTCAACACATCAGAATTTTAATCATATATATATAGTTTATGATTTTAACGCAGTGATCCGACGGAGAGGTTAAAGTCAGATGTTCAAGTCGTATTTTAATCTTCAGAAAAATCTATGAAAATATAAATTGAAAGACAAAATTAAAACCTCGAGGTATAAATTGCAAATTATTGTTTAAAATGAATAAGAATATTATTACAGAAGTTTGTTGTTGCGCAATTAATCAAGTTCATGATTTGTTGTCGAGTTGATGAAGTATGAAGTACAAGTGAAAAATTTATCAATATTGTGTTATTAATTGCATTTTGTCATGGCAGATGAATCTTATGTTACGCACGATCCGAGCTTGCGTTCGCTCTGCGAGACACACCAAATACAGTACTCTACCCTCAGAAGCAGTAATATTTATGGAGGATAATCGCATGGTTGTCTGCTGGCATCCTGAGAAGACGTTTCCATACGAGTGTTCCTTACCTCTGCCTGAAGAAAAACCCGATACTTCCGTACTGCGAATCGGAAACAAAGACGTCGCTGAGATTTTTAGGAAAAAGAAGGAATATCAGGTTGTGGAAGAGCTAGCAAAAATCACATACACTACCAAGCACAGGTGGTATCCTAGGAAAAGAGACAAGAAAGCAAAAAACACAGAACCTGACAGGCCATATTTGTAACATTTGAAAAAGGTCTGAAGGGTTTCTTGGTGAAAAAGTACTGTATTTAATTCTCTTTACATATGTAGTTGTATCCTGCAAAACATATATTAATAAATGTACAAAGATAATTGTTATATCTGTCTGTATAAATAAATGCTTACAATAAAAGGATAGAATGAAGGGCAATTCGAGAGTTAATTTTTTAATTTCTTTAAATTTGGGACTAATTCTTCTATCCACTATTGATATATATAAAATAATTGACACGATTGGACTTTATATTCAACACTCTACACGACTAATAACTGATTTATCATAGTGTACGTTAATATTTCGAAAAACACATTATGAATACTGTCTGGGTGAGTCATTAAAGTGAGATAAAGAACTTTACATAAATATGACAATTTTAATCATAATTCAACATTACATCAAACCAGATTATCGATTCGACCAACATTCAATTTACCAAAATCTTTTGTCAACGAATTTGATCCCGCAGAGAGTTACTCATTTCAACATCGCAACATGATAATATATTATAATTCTACCGTCTACGATACAATGAATTTCTTTCGTCGACGCATCTGAAGAAGGTTCAATCCAAAAGTCGAAACATGTAATGCGCAGAATTTTAGATACCTATGTATACATTTTAAATCCTTATTAATTATAATTTTTTAAATTTATTATGTGGAAACTTTTATTTATAATTATCGGTAATTCTCGAATTGCCCTTCATTTTATTGTTTTGACATCGAGAGCTTTGTTTGATAATATTTAAATGCTTGCATATATACTTAATGTGTTTTTCTTTGAAGAATTTAAATACAATATCACTCAATATAATTCCACATTTTTTGTGTTATAAATTAAATAAATAAATAAATATTTTTATCAGGTAATTACATTACATATAAATTATTTTAATATTATTTTACTCTTAGCTTAATTTTCTCGTTTAACTCAAATCACTGATCTTGCAATGAATATTTATTATATCAAAAATATTTTATATGTATTTATTCCTATATATTATTTACTTTATCAAATTGCACATAATTATACTCATTCTGCAAACTTTTTTTAATTAATAAAAATACTATGTCGTCACGTTTATATATATATGTATCTACGAATCAAAAATTAATATATAATACATACATTTATATCAGTACAGATAAAGTCTAGAGCGCAATATTAAAACCGATTTGTTATATTACATCTATCTTACTTCGCTTGTATTATAAATGGCAAGGGAAAAGCTGACTCTCTCCCTCGTGCATAAAAATTTGTAAAGCTTTGTATAATAAGTATCTACCAAATTTCTGTTTTTGTTGCATGTTCCATGTTGCCGCGATACCATAGTACTTCCCACCTTTAGAATTTCCTAAATGTTTCTTCCCTAATGCGTCTATCATGGCAGCTTCTCTTGTGTAAGCTTCTACTGGAATAATATTTTGAAAAATATGCAAACAGATCACACCATGATCGCTGTTCCATATATCGAGAATGCAATTAATTTTTTTATTTGTACTAGTATCACCATCCACCCATATCTTGAACGCGTCATAAAGATGAGCAAAAGGTCTGGAACGTTTGCCTTTACCGATATAAAATATAGCGTTAAGGAAAATTGACCAAACTTCCGAGTTTGTAAGATGAACACTGCGATTTGGCAGATCCTGCGTTATACGCGGATCTAGTAGTAGATAGGTGAAAGATGTTTTCGATGTGCCTTCACGCCATCTTCGAAATGGATCTGGCGATGCAAACTCTTGAAATACTTGCTTTTCCAAGCTTTTGTAAGTATCCAGATGATTTAACCAAACTCCAAGCTCTAAATAAGGTAAGATTTTGTTGTCTAGCTTTGAGCTCTGATTTTTTGGAGCATTCTTCAGATTTGGTATGAACAAATCAGAATTAGCATCAATGACATTTTTTAAACGTAAAAGACGTTTTTGATAGAGCTGTCTGGTAGTATTAGTGATTGGACCAGGTTGATCGCCAAACTGTGTAAGTTGTTGTCTAAGAGCAATATCGTCGATAAACAATATTTCTTCTGGTAAACTTTGCGAAGTGGATGTACTTGAAATACCTGTAATAGGCAAATTATTTTTTAATTTTATCGATATAATCTTTTAACAATAACATTAAATTTATTTGTAACTTACCAGACATTTTGCTTCTAACATCATATTCACTCCTATTAGAGTTACTGAAACATTGATAAGTTTGATAAGATAAATTTCTTGACTTTTTCAAAAGTACGATATGATTCAATGATTCTTAATACATAGATTATGAAGTAAAAATAAAAATTGTAATTGTGAACTCACCTAAATGGAGTAACACAAACTCGGCGTTCTAATAAAATTACACCTTCTTCTGGATCTTCATATTTATATTCTTGGGCACTGACATATGAAAGTAGAGACCTAAAATTTATAACAATCAAGTACTTAATTGTTCATTCAGTGATATCGCTTTTAAAGTGTACTCTGTTGTACTCACGAATTTTGAGTATTACACACATCTGAATCTTTTATTTTTAGTAATCCTTTTTCCTTAGAATCGGTACTTCTTGAGGAATATGATTTTTGAGAATCTAGTACATAAATTGGTTTTTTACTTTGTATAAGTAAATTCATAGCAGGCAGTGAATCATTTTCTATGAGCGATTTATTTAATGGAGATAAGTGAAATCTATCACCATACCAATTTTTTGCATGTAAATTACAAGTATTGCTTATATTCATGTTTAAATCTTCATTTAGTAATTTCTTAGTATCACAATCAACACAATCTACAAAATTTTCTTTATGTAACGAATCAGATTCAGTTGTACATAAAGATTTTAAATTATCTACTCGTTTTTCCAATGTTTCATAAATATCATTTTTTTTTCTGAATGTTATAAACTCATTGTTTATTTCCTTATTTCCAGTTTTCTCATTATTGCTAACATTGTTAATAGGTTCGTTCTCCTTTTCAATTTGATTAAAACTATTTACATCTAAGAGATTTATGTCACTATTATTATCGGTTACATCAGTCTCGTCGTATTTTCCTTCATCTAATTTTATTGCCAAATTATTTTTATACTGATTCTGTTGTTTTATTTTGATAGCTTGTTTGTAATTTAATAATGAAGATTTACTACTTAAATCTAGAATATCATAGCGAGTTGTATCATTTATTTTGAAAAAGATTGTTTTGTTTAAATCAATTGGCTTTAATATATTATTAGAAATAAATTCATCAGAAGTAGCATCGCTTTCATATCGATAAGATTTAAATCTTTTTCGGCCAGAATGGAAATTGTATATCGATCGTTTCTTTCTTCTTGGTGTTGATTGAGCAACATGTTTTTCATACCAATTACATTCAGAATATTGCATCTCAGTTTTATACTTCTTGAATGTATTCAGGGAATTCTCATGTGATGTCTTTGTTAGATTTTTCTTCCTGATGCAAACTGGTGTAAAATTAGGCGACTTGCTAACAATAGAATCATTGCAAATATCATTTCTTCTCTTTCTGCGACTAGGTGTATTAAAGTTTGGTGACATGCTAATGATGGAATTATCCAATGTACGAGTTGGTGTTACAGAAATTTTTTCAGAGATATCTTTGCATTTGTTTTTAGAAGTACTTTGTTTGTTATACTTTGAATATTGTTTTCTCATATTTGGAGTGTTAGGTTTTAAAATATTTTTACTATTCTTTTTTTTACATGGAGAATTCTTTGATTTTTTATATTTATAACATACACCTACATCTCTCATTAAGTACAGTCTCTTATTAAATGACGTATCAGAATTGCTTGTTGTAATACTACTTTCCTCTTGTTTAGCTGTATTGTAATTGTGCAAGGTCTCGTTAATAGTGCAATTACTTGTTAATGATGACGAGAGTTGATTAATGATTTGACTGACAAGGCATTTTTCTTTCTGCATGACATCGGAAAGATATAGATTTGCAAAGTCAAAATCGAGATCGACAAATGAGCAATTTGGCATTTCTTTCTTATGAGTTCGTAAAATGTTATTTTGTACTTTAGCAGTCGGTACATGATTAATATTAGAGGCATGTTCATCTAAATTATTTGATAATTTGTACTTAGTTTCAATAGTAACACATACATCTGGTACATTGCTTGGGTCTACAATCATCGAGGAAGAGTTTGACTTATAACTGGAAGAATTAGTAAGCACACTCTTCTGTCCTATATTATCTTCATTTAATATTTCATCATCTGTATTTTTTGATGCAACATATTCGGCGATTACATCCCCATTAATGACTAAAACTTTGTCTAGAATATTAAGAGCAAAGATAATAAATAGTAATTCAAAAATTGTCTGTGAATTAAGTTTAGAGACTACTTACCAAGCATCATGTTATATTTTGGTTTGTCATCCTCATCTTGAGTACTTTCACAATAATTTGCAAGCATCGTCACAACATTAAAATATTTTTCATCAAAGGCATAGTGAAACGGACTTCGTCCATCATTGTCCAAACATAATGGATTACCACCATTTGCCAAAAGTAACTGCAATATGTTTATTCTACCCCAAGCTGCTGCTACATGAACCGGAGTCATTCCATCATTTGACCTAAGAATATATATTGCACTTGTGTTTGCATAAATATTGTACAAAGGATCATTATAATGATAATTCAGATTATACCTCACGTTGGGATTGCCACCGTGACGTAGGAATAGTTTAGTCACTTCTTCTGCAAATTCTTCTGAATCGTTGCCAATAACTAAATGAAACGGAGTAACTCCGTGTACAGGAATCAAGACATTAGGATCTGCATCTTTATTTAGTAAAAGAGTTGCCACTTGTCTAAGAAAAGATTTTTAAATAAAATTAATCATCTACAATAAATTTTTACTCTTTGTCTGCAATCAGGATCTTCTTTCTTTACTATTTTAGGCTTTCAAGAAAATTGAGCAGAAATTTGAAATTTGAGCAGAAATGCAAAAATTTGGAAGTAAAATTTAGCTTATGCTAAAAAAAATCCAGATTGCAAACGCAGAGTTAATAATTGTTTAATATTTCCTTAAAAAATAAAAAACGAATGCAATTGTGGAAATTTATATATCTAATAATTATTTTTACCTTATATTATTGTCCTCAAGTCCATCACAGAGGGATGAAGCCAAAAACAGGCCACCTTTTGTTTTTGGAGTTGACAACATTTTCTCGTTCGAAATATCCAGTTGTACATAACAACATCCGTTAAGATACTTTTATCAGAACGTTTTAAGTGCGATAGTCGTTTGCTTTTGTTATTTTCTTATATTCCATTGTTATACAAAATAACGTACGACATAGCAAAGTGGAGTAACAAATACCGATCGACCAACGTAAATTAATCCGCTACTTTCGAGACACTAAACAAATCAAGATTCAAACTTTCGTGTCACAAAAACATTGCCGGCGAATTTGGAAAAGGCTATAAATATACGTTGCAAGTTTATTACGCATCTTTTAACTGATAAGTCGTAGTCGTAGGTCAACGTATGTATGTTTTGACACCGACGAGATACTAGTAAAGACTACCAACCTTGGGCAAATTTTCGTCCTCATAAAAAGGGCTTTGAGGGGTCGGAGATAATTGAAGAACGCTAACATATTATTAACAACTAATATAAATTTGTGATTATTAATATAAATATTGTAATAAATTCATGATTTTTTATTGTACATATACATGCTCAAATAAGTATGCATACTTGTAATTTGTAATGCTATAATATCTTATATATATATATATTGCCGCAAAATTACATTTTTTTCTCTACAATTATCAATCTCTATATTGATAATCAAACTTGAGCAATAACATTAAAATCACAATTTTAAATTAAAAAAAATAAAGTATTATTGAGTTTATTTTAAATACATATATATGTTCAGAAAACTGATAAATCATAAAATTAGTATTGTATTTTATCAGTTCCTTACTCTTAACCTCTTCAGACCTGAAATAAATTGAACCATTGAAATAAAAAATAATTTAGTTTAAAAACATTTTTTTTGTATTGGAACACAACCAATAAGAAATTTAACGGAACTACCACAATGTCCACAATAATATCATAAGTTAATTGTTCTAGCAATTTAACTCGTGATATTATTGCGGTAGTTCTGTAGAGTTGCGTTTCAAGACCGAAAAATTGTTTGGCGCGCAATTTAAAAGACTACATACGTAGTATATAAATTCACACGGAATTATAATAGCACCTAAGATCCAGCTCAACCGTTACAGGTAATTTCTTATCTGTTGTGTTTCTCATATGTACGCGGTTCTAATAAGATTTAAATATTATTTATTGGAACTATTAGAATAAAAAAACTTAGTTAAAAAAAAATTAAATTTTTTCAATTCAATATATAAAAGCGCTTTAATAAGTAATTCGTACTAAACAATACATTTTTTTTAAATTTAAATAATTTTTTCAATATATATACATTATTATATGTATATAATTTTCGATGATGTCGATAGAATTAAGTAATTTTAATGATGCTTCCAAACTTGATATACATACATATAATAATGTACACCGGATCTGAAGAAGTTAATTACTGTTTATAATGATAATTAATAAACAGTTTTAATTTTTTACTATTAGATACAATTTCTAAACTATATATTTTTCATTATACATATAAAATATTTGATTATGAATAATGGAACACAATCACTATAATAAATTATTACTAGAGTAACAGGTATCGTAAATTACGTATCAAAATAAACGTTAAAAATTTGATGTTTTTACGTATTTAAAATTATTTAATGAACGTTATAAAAATGTTTATAATAAAACATTTTCAATGTCTATACTAAACATTTTTTTACTAATTTAGAATCTTTGTAAACGTTCTGACTATGTCTAAAAAAACTTGCGTTTTTTAAACGTACTTAGGTAATAGATTATTAAGTTAATCGTCGATCAAGCCAGATCAAAATCGCCTTTAATCTTGAATTTAATTAGGTTTTTTAATTATCTCGAAATTGATCACCGTCATTCTTTTGTTCGTAAGTTCAGAAGGTTGTCGTATTTCTTGAAAGAAGACAAAGATAATCAACACTCATTTCAGACATCTTATTGAACAGTCATATTATTTCAATTTTCACACACCTTTTCATAGACAGAAATTATAACCACTGTTAGATTCGTGATTAAGAAATAATTAAAGCTTTTATTTATAAAATGAAGAGTGGGAGGAGGAAAAAGGAAAGAACGTTCTCATTAAATTTTAACGATAACGACAAAGACATTTTACGTATAAACGATTATTACATGTGTGCGGAGTGAATAGTGTCTTTATTCACGCATACAAAATTTCAAAATATTCATTTTAAAAGTAATTTCAGTTTTTTTTTTCAAATAATGTTTAGTAATATCAATATAACTACGATAAAAAATTAAAGTAATTAGTATTAAAAGTTTTATTTTTCTTACTGAAAGTCTGATGCTTTTATGACGAAAAAATTTAATTTAATTGAATTTATTCTGCGAACACGAGCGTACTGGACAGCGCACAGGTCATGCCAGAGGTTCCGGGTTCGATCCCTGGTAGAAAATTAAAATATTTACGTTTGTATCTCCTCTTGGGAAAGGCGGACAATCTCTCGAAAGTATTCTTGCCCACAGAAACATCTCTCAATAAATCCGCTGTTCGATATTAAAAATCTGTAGATCCTACATGTTTGTGGCAATTGAATAAGCAGCGTGCGCACCACAAGCGTATGAGAGGTGTAATCAGATTTGGCAACCAGATAAGATTTATTTTGTGTAAATTGGAGAATGATGCAATGATACGTTGATTACTTATATGCTGCTACTATTTATTATCGTTTATGCTCAAATATAGAAACATGTAACAACTGCCAATACATGTTGTACTTAAACTATTCTTATTTACAGTGAATTAAAACTATTTTAAAAGCCAAAATAGGTTATACATATAGAATAGATCTAAAAGAAATGTAAGACATACTTCAATAGGAATAGATTCAGCATAAATAGTAGTTATGTTAAAATATCAATTGGATGACAAGTAATGTACAAAGATTATGTCAAAATGGAGTATCGCATTTGCTACAGACGTTCGGTGCAAATGTCTCGTGCGCGCGATTTGGTGTTATACATTACATTTTACATGTGTAAAAGTGCGCGTGTGAAGAAGGAAACGAAACCATTGAGCATAGTCCTTATACATCTTGTCCCTTATCTCTTACGATCATTAGACCCACTGCGACGAGAACGAGATCGACGGCTGTGACTGCCACTACGGGAACGTTTTGATCTAGAACAAGATATCAAAAACATTGTTCGATGATAGACTAAATTTCTTCATCTTTCCTCTTTTTCTTTTTAATACGAAAAAGAGCAGATTTCATAAGAGATACAGAGAAATTGCTCTTTGAAAATTTTGTTAATTTTAATTCGCTCAGAGATCTGGAGGAACAATGATCTATATTTTTAACTCATTAGTATCAGAAAGACATGAAATTGACAAACCTTCTTCCACGACTGCGACTGCGAGATCGTGACTTTCTTCTACCGCTATCCTTGCGTTCCCGGTCTCGATCACGCTCACGTTCACGTTCACGCTCGCGCTCACGATCACGATCACGATCGCGGTCACGATCACGATCGCGGTCGCGATCGCGATCCCGATCGCGGTCACGGTCACGGTCGCGATCGCGGTCACGGTCACGGTCACGGTCTCGATCGCGGTCACGGTCGCGCTCGCGATCTCTGTCACGGTCGCGATCTCTATCGCGGTCGCGGTCTCTGTAGCCCAATCCTCCGCGGTTCCTGTCCCTATCGCGGTCCTCCCTGTCTCTGTCCCGTCTTCTGTCGAGCTGAGATTCACGTTTCTCCTTACGTCTCTCTTCGACGGTTTTTTGAAGTTCAGCGAGTTTCTCACGGATTTTAATAAAGCCGAGATGCAGCTTCCCACCGAAGTGATCTGCCAGGCGTCTGTCATTGTCATGTATCCCAAGGTATGCGCTGCATACTTCGCATACTCTCAGTTTCTGTTGTTGATAACTTGACGCCGGCATGCTGTTTCGATACTCCTGTTCTGCTTCATTCTTCTTTTTGCGCAGCTCGTCGATCTCGCCCATTAGTTTCATCGACTCCTCGACAAAGCCCTCTTCGCCGAGCTGCTCGGCCTTGGCTAGTTTCTTACCGATCTCCTCGGCGAGCACATGAACGTTGTTTGCTTTCGCCGCCACCTCCGCGCTCAGTTCCTCCTGCGTCTCCGCTAGTCGTTGCTTAGCTTGTTCCGTTCGACGATCGCAGTCGGCAATAAAGTTTTGGAGATGTTCCATCGCCTGAAAATTTGAGAAAGTTACATTAAAATTCGTTTATAATCGAAATTTTTTAATTTCTTGATGGTAATAAATAAATAAATCATTGAATGTAAATTGTGAATAATAATTATAAATGGAGATAAGTTCCCCTGCAAAATAGCGTTGATTTCATTTCTTTTATTTAGCCTACTTTTTGCAGTCATAATTGTTTAACATAGTTTAGACACGATTCTAATGATCATTCTACAATAATATCGAGAGTTCAACCCTCCATCAGCAATATGAAATTTTCACTCTTCATCCGCAATCTGAATTTTCGAAATTTAGTGTAGATTTTTATAATATTCCGAATTAAACGTTTGAAAAAATCCTTACATATATTTATGACACTTTATGTTATATTTTTTATGGTATATTTTTATATAGACAAGTTTTTACTATCATAGAAGATAGATTATATTTTACTTATTTTTTATAGATTTAAATTTATCTACCAGAATTCGCAATAAAAAAAGTCGACTGCGTCTTTAAAAAATCCAATATTGCCGGTAGAGGGTTAACATTAAAATGATGCGATAAAATTAATACTCACATCAATGTCATAGAAGTGATCTCTCTTCTTTTGCGCGGCCTCGTAGTCAGCCCGTAGGGCCAAGTCGTGAATCTGGGGGCATTCTCCCAGGTCCATGCGCTACGATTTACAAACCAAATCAGGATTAGATTTACGGTCCCTTCGTTCGTACGCAGGCCTTATAGATTCTATGCGTTATACGAGTTAAAAACCCTTCCCAACATTGCGTATTAACGAGATACTTCTTACTTGACAAGAATATAATTTGGTCGCGGTGCTGCGACTGGAAAATAGTACGAATCAATAATCTAGGAGAGAGACAGAGATGATACGACAAAAATTCTGAGCTTACATCGCCTATATCCTTAGGATAAGACGGTCCAATATATTCATATTTTCTTATATTTTTTTTTGTTATTTTCATTCTTTTTACGTTGAACTCACGGAAACGTAAGTTCATCTTCCTGCACAGGCTAGGATAGAGCGTACAATAATGAAGCGATCGAGATCGTCAGGCGATCTAGTATCGCGTGTAAAAGTAGAAATGCAGTTTTTACAGATAAATAGTTTGTTGTTTTCACTTACAGGGTGGCAACAGTTCTCCGCCTGACACGAGAATGCGATGGCAATGAAGCTATAATCAGCACACACCTTAAGTTTCATAATGTTCACTTTTTTCTACGAAAGAGAACTTACAGCCTATAATGGTTTAATATACTATTTTACGTACGGCACGAACCGTGTCTTATGTTGGCTGCTAAACGAATTTTTAGAAAAAAACGGATTCAATACGTACACATCCAATGGTTGAAGAAATTTTTTCTAATGGAACTCTGGCGCTTGTTGTACTAATCCGCCTAATCACACGTCTCTCTGCGTCATGCCACCTCTCATATTTTCTCTTGCCGAGACATGTTTGGATATTGCAAATTGCCAAAGATATTAATAAATATTTAAGCGAATGAATCCAAAGAACTTTGTTAAAAATTTCTTTAATCATCGCGATTAGTATTTAGGACCAAGTTCCATAATTAAAAAAAAATTTCCATTAATCTCAAAATTTACATCAATTCGCAAAGTGGCGTGCGAGTGATGTAAAATTTTTCTCTATTTTTGCACTTTTTTAGAACGGAATTGAGAACGGAGAAAAATCTCCCCCCACATAAGTCTTTCGCGCGAAAAAAGAAATCGACAGCGATTGAATGTTATAGATGTACTTGGCAATTCGCAAATCTTTTACTTACAGATCACTGCTTCATTTCCTGCACCCATACTTCCACAGGATGATATATATTTTCTCACACACATTCTCAAAGTAAACTTCTCATTCCTACCTGCCGTAAACGGCATTATTAGTAAGAAGCGACATTAAGACATCGTCTCATGAATCAGCATGACGCTACTCACCGATTCACTGTTTACAGGCCTTTTCGGGGGGATTCTGGGAATTTATTCTTTCGGCATTTACTCAGCCTCACCACCGTGTGGAAAATCGGTAGAGGGGCTGAGATAACCGCCTGCCTTTACGTCACTCGTATCGAATTAATATATATAGATATGTATATAGATATAGATATAGATATGCATATATATATATGTATATCTAGCACTTGAATTATGGTAAAGGTAAATCAAATTGTAGGTGTAATACGTACGTCCTCTTCTCGTTTTCAGTACTTACAGTAACGCGCGTGTGAGAGTGACAAGTACAACACGGACATATGAGCGGACAATACTCGCAACAATATTGTACAATGGATCTGATTGGAATTGCTTTTTCCAGAGACTCTGGAAATAGAACTGTAGTTACGTTGACATTAGTGGGTCTGCATATTTCTCGTTCGAGTGATTGCCGTTAGTAATTTTTCGTGTTTTTTTTTAAAATATTTTTTTTACGTTCTGCCTTCGTTTGCTCTCTAATATCGTGTTATCGATATTTTTTAATGGTTCTCATTATGGAAATTATATCGCGAGACCTTCGGGGCTGTTTGCTATCTCTCGCCGTTACATTTCAATACATTCTCATAAATTTCACGACATAATATATCCCATCTAAATGATTTTTTTTATTTCGCAAAATGTCACATTCTAAAAGCGTTAGGTATTTTTATGTTTATTATGTTAGAAAGTAGAACTGCTAGTCTGTGTAATCTGTGTTAACTACTTTATATCTGCCAGTTCTACCGGAACTGTACTTCATCATTTGAATTTGAATACAATTTAGGTTGATTGGGGATAAAGGCGATACTCCGAGAATAGAATGAAGCACATTCCTTTACATTTTCGTTTTATTCAAGGTAAGTATTCGAAGAGAATTTAATTAAATTCTTTAAAGAGAAATAAAAATAAGGGATATAAATTGATGAAATAAAAAGGAATAATTCGTTCTTTCTAAAGCAAACAAAATGAATAAATTAATCAAAGATAATGAATTTATTCGAGATGAAATTAATTACCAACTTTTCCTTACTTCTGTGATAGAGAATTGTTATCTAATATAAAAAAAATTTGATAAATTTTTCGATATTTATACGCGTGCTAATATTTATACAGAATGAATCCTGATATCTGTAGACGGCATTGAGAGTTGACTAGTTAAAGATTAAAAAGCAACTAGGACTGTTTGCTTAAAGCGAGCACTTTCTGGGTAAAAAAACTTCCCTGCGTTAGTAACTGCCTGACAATGAAATATATATTGTATATTTGCATATATATATATATATATATATATGTGTGTGTGTGTGTGTGTGTGTGTGTGTGTGTGTGTGTATACATATATATAGAAAGAGAATAAAGTGAAATAGAACTTTTAAAATGCCTGTCATGGAGACTATAAAAAGTTTATAATAGAAACAACTTGACATTATTATTCCAATAGAGAAGCACGTTTACATATATTGGAACATCGATCCCTCTCGTTATAAACTCAAGACATCAGAAAGGTGGTTCAGGCAGCTACGTGGAGGAAAATGCGCACAAAAGAGAGAGAGAGAGAGAGAGAGAGGGGGGGAGGGGGAGAGAGGGAGAGCAAACAGCCCTGTGATCAATTCGTACAAGATGACACTGAAATGCGCGAAGCAGTACTATAGAACATTAATTATATAGTTCGCTCATGTATATCATTAATCCCGCGTATGCTGTAACTAATAAATAAAAGTGTTGCTCGATCGACCGCATATATGCAGGACGTGTGATTGCGTCTGGATTTCAAGTCACCCAGTCAGCTGCCCGATATCACTGTGATTGGGATTGCAGTATTTTCAATACATGTTAGATACTATATATGTATATATATATATATGGATCCACAACGCGACGTTCTGGGGAATAGAACAGGCAAAAATAAGTTTCGCGGTCTGGAAAAAGAAAAAAAAAATGATATAAATGTGAATACGAAATTTTTGCGCGCTTTAACTTCCAAGCCACGCCAAGTCAAGTGTATTTGACTGTTCTAAACCCGAGTATGTGTGTGTACAATAGTATCCCGATTAAAAAACGCCCCGTGTTGCACTTCGATGGTATCCAATGTGAATTGATCGTAATCAATTCCTAATGTATGTACGTGTCGAATAAATAAGGCGAAACGCTTCCCCTTCCAGCGCTTATTCCTTTTATTTAAATTCGCTTATTAAATCCTAAAAATTCTTACAGTCTACGGATACTTAATATCTACATATGGTACTGAACAGTGAGAACACACCGATTGGCACAGATGAAGAAGCGCTAACGAATGGAATGTTCGTGACGAATCTATCTTACCTATAATCTATTCTAAGTTCATCAAAATTCTACGAGCGAGTAATAATTTATCGAGTAATTTATTTAAAAAAAAAAAAATGATCTTCAGCTTCTACATTCGAAACAGCTAATCAGTATTCTACACATACATTCTTATTCTTCTATTTAATTTTAAATGAAGGTGTACCTTTGTACAATGCGAAGGGATGTTCTAATTATGTTGTGTATGTATGTGTGAGACAGTACTAAACAAGTCAGTATGCATACAAGTTCACGAGACAGCAAAGCAGAATACAGACCTTCATTATCAATTTACTGCCCTTTATACTAAAATGGATTTGATCACGGTCTGATTCACTGAACAGCAAACAGCGCAATCAGGGAAAATGACGTAAATTAGGGAGAAATGACGTAACGATCTGGCGAACAAATTTAGTCTTTACAACTTGATTGTGAAATTATATGTAACAGTAAAAGGCAGCATAAATTCCAAATTTTATTTAAACAAAAAAGCAGCTTTGATTATGTCAAGAAATTTACTTTTATTTATTTTTCTATTTGCGTGTGTAAATCTGCTCACTTATTAATTGTTTCGTATTTATACCTTTAAATAATAATAATAATAATAATACTATAACATTTATATTTGTGCACACAGACTGTTCGATGATCATTATGATTAAGTGCGAGTATGGATATGTAAGAAGTAATTTAATATATATATTCAATTATTCAATTAAAGATATAAAAAAATATAATTACACAATTCCATATACTGTATTCTATTGACTTTACTATCACCATCTATTAATACAGTACTAGCGATACGGTAAAATTATTTTTACAGAAATAATAAAATATATTATTATCTCATTTCTATATTATTTACATATTATTTATTATATGCTCCCACTTGTTAAAATATATTTAAAAACATTTTTATAGTTAATAATAATGCTATATCGACTTGAGATGACAAATGGCTCTGTATGAGAGTAATTGAAGATGGCTAAAGCAGCTTTTATTCTCTAAATTTGTTGGAATCTCAAAAGACTATAAATTGAGCCATTTTTTCTTTAAATAAAAGAGCTCAATTTTTTTAATCTTTGAGAGTCAGTTTCACCAATGTAAGATTAACTTCAATCTCAATAATCTCAATAATTATTCTATTCTTAGAATTATTTAAATGGTGAAACTTTTGAAGTGAGATTTTATTTTGCAGAGTTTAACTTTCATTTTAAAAGTTAGAGAGTAAACGCTGAATATACATATTATTGAACAATTATTTTGTACAATATTATTATTATTTTTAAACAATTCAAAACATACAATCTCAAAGCTCGATGTAACCTCTAGACGATCAATAATATTGTGCAATAATATGGATCGTCTAGAAGTCGCTTTATAGTTAGCAAGTCCCAGGTTTGGAACTTACTGATTTTCATCTTAAATATATCTCGTATTAGGAGGTTGATTGAAAAATTAAAGATTGTAAAAGTGTGAAGAAATATATAATATGACAATAATAACCAGTTTTAGGACTCATAACAATAAAATTAGATAATATCAGTTAGAAAAACATAGGTTAAACAAATAGATTGTGCAATCGCTGTAAACAGAATTACAAAATGACAAAAAGTCCAAAGAGAGCAAAAAGTAACTACAACCTATCACTTTCTCTCTGCATCGGAATTGAAAAATATCAGCACAAATCCGTATGTATGTGTGTTGTGTTTTGTGTGTGGGTGTGTGTGTGGATATATATACAGGATGCATTTATTCTTTGCGCATAGTGCCAACGGTGTGTCATTTGTGTTTGAATTCGCTGCATTACGGAATATTAAACTCACCGTCGACGACAGAATTTCATGAGGGCAGCAGGCTAGCAAAAAACTCTTGCAGACCTTCGAGTCGGAGTATCTCACTTGAAATTTGTTATTTTCACCTGCAAACAAGTTCCAGAATTAACAGTGACGGTTTGACATCGGGCAGATAAGCGTATATATATATATATATATATATATATATATATAAGGGGTAGGGTGCTACATTGTTATAACAAGTATGGCCGGCGATCTCGCGCTGTTCAACTCGGACCCGCACTCGTCTCGTTATCACTCACTCCGCGAGCCGCGTGCCGCGGTAGCGATGTAAGAAGTGAGATAATGTATGTACCATTTCGTCCTGTGCCCATTAACTGGTCAAGCATAGCTCGCATCTGGTCGTGCGCCGTCATTTTTCTGTAGGTCGATGTGTACAACCTCTCAAAAGCACGACGCAGCTCAAGTACTTAAATCAAAGTACCTAAAATCGTGTGGCCAGCCAGCCACGCCATCCGATCACACACATACATACACCCGCACATGCACGCGTGCAACAAACTTCGCGAGTCCCGACGACTCACGACTTTCGAGTTTAGGGGTCGGAGAAAGGGTTTTTGAGTCGATCGCAACGCTGCGTTCGGCGACTGCAGCGCCATCGCGTAGTCGACGGCCGCGTTTCCAGGACGTCCAACGTGCCGATTGGCTGTCCGGGCTGTCCCAATCCCGCGCGGGACTTTTGGACCGCGCGACTCGTTTCGACGAATACGATCGTTCGACGAGCACGTTGAAGTTACTGCGAGACATCCGCCTCCTGATTGGTTATTGAATAGGGAATTGACATCACAGACGATCTATCGATCGATGCGTCCACCATTTTGTCGGCAGAAATTTTTAATAGATTGTAGGTAATAGATGTTATACAAAATCGATCGCGATTATTTTATACGGAATGTATTAATTTTTTTGCTAATTATTATTATAATATTTTGTTGAAACGTTTGAAATAAAGAATTATTCCTGAAAAAAAAAACAAGAAATATCATTTTCCTGTTCTACCTTTTGTTTGTTATTCTCTGTGTAAAAATGTTGTTGATTTAATTATTTATAAAATAATTTATAAAAACTGTTAAGATTTAATGTACGTAATATTATGATTTTTTCAAGATTTTAATAATAGATGAAGAGAGAGGGAGAGAAAGAGAGACAGAGAGAGGAGAGCGGCCACAGGATTTACGCCGACAAAGTTCCAACGGTATTTAAACCAGGGGTTGCACAGCGACTTCAAACACGTTGGAGTGCAATGACCGGCGGGCCCCCTCGAGAGTTTAAATCAAATTATACACTTCTGTGGTCAATATCCAACATTAAAACTTACACTTTCACGATTATTATAATCGCAGCATTGTTTGCAGTAAATGCAGATATATTTCCGTAAATTATAAAATCTTTAAATTACAAAATAATTTCTATGTAATTATAAAAAGTCAGGATTTTAAAATTAACTGTCTTTATCTCTTTCGCATTTATGTGTAAAATTATAATAATATAAAATTAAGTGTTCTTAATTATTTTGACAATTTTAAGTATATGTATATATTTATTTATTTATTTATTTATTGTAGTTTTTAACGTCCATACACTATTATAATATCGAATTATATGGAATTTGAATTATTTTCAATAATTTTTATAAATCGTTACTGTTTCTATAACAGATGTCATTAATTCGATTTTAAAAAAATAAAGTTTTATTTCTTTTATTATATCTCTTTTTGTAATTTTAAGCATTGTTTATGACTGTTTACAATAAAGTAGTTGTTATATATATTATATTACTTATACATATTATATAATAACAATTTTATTACATGCATTTACAAACTATGAATTTTGAACAATATTCAAAATTTAAAAAACGAGAGAAACAATAGATTAATGTAATATAATAAAAATATATATTTTTTCATCTCACACACACACACAAATTTATAGTTTATTATTAATTAATTACGTTAATATGAACGATATTTACTTTAACTATTATACTTGAACTAATTACACAAATGGATCGATTTGTATTTTGACATACATGAAAGATAAAAATAACAAAATATTATTTTTAGTTATTTAACTCAAACTATACAGGGATTGGGTTTTACCATTGTTTTGTTACTATTTGGATATCTGACAGTGTATGCGTTAGACGCGACGTTTTTGTTTGTCTTTTCATTAATGAGCAAAACTATACCGTAGTTAGCGTATTACATAATAATTTCCGAAAATTTCTCAAGCTGAGCTGCGAGCGACAGTCGCGAACTGCGCGCAGAAACCGCATGCAGAAAAGAGAGACGGAGCAACCGGTAGCGGAGGTGGTGGCGACGGTGGTGGCAGTGGTAGAGGTACCAGGACTCCGCGCTCTCGATCGTGACCTGCGAGAGCGAGCGAGTAAATGCAACGTGCTAACGTAAAAGCGAGACCGAGGAATTAACCGGCGCGGAGGAGGTGGAGGCGGAGGAAGAGGGAAAGACCTCGAATCGCGGTACCGCGAGCGAAAGCAAGAGAAGGCTGGAGAAGCGGCAAAGACGAAATAGTAGGTGGATGAAGAGGAGGTGATGGTGGGTGAAGGAGGAGATCGAGGAGGAGGAGGAGGAGAAAAAGAAGAAGGAGGAGAAGGTGGTAGCGGCGACGTCGGTGGTGGTAGGAGAATCAGCCTCCGCCAGTCCATCCACGTGTTCAGTGTAGTTGCGCGTTATGACCCGGATGTTAGATCGTAGCCGCAGTTTCGCGAGAACCTGCCGACCCGGATGTCCCCCCGCTTGTTGTTCACCAGTGATCGACCACTAATGTCTTCCTGGCTACCAAAATATGTTCAATCGGTAAGTTACGTCCGGCACCCTCCTCGTCGCCGTCGTCTTCGCTGGAATTGTCGCCCCATACTTCGGCAAGGACCACCCGACACCTCTGAATGCATGAGATGCGTCTCCGTGGTTCAATCGAGGATTCGAAGATCCAATTTTCAATTATAATATTTCGCCTCAAATTCGGATTCCCAGAGAACAATATGTTCGAAATGCGGACACGAGACGATCCTGAAGACGTCATTAAGATGTCTTTCAGGCATCATGTTATAAAAATATCTTTAAGACGTCCTAAGTTCCTTTTTGAACTTGCGTGTTGTCTGGGACACGTATAAAGTGAAAAAAAAAAAAACGTTTCGGTTATATTATAAGATCATATATATATATATATATATATTCTTGAATATTGAGAGAGTGTACCAGAATTTTTTTTTGATCTTTTAGGCTCGATTGTGTGCATCAATGTTACTTTAATTTTAAGCGAGGCCTAAATTTCTCCCTTTTCTATCTCTCTATAGCTTTAAAAAAAAAAAGAGAGAGATTTTTAAGCTTTATTTAAACTCAAAGTAACAATTGGTACAATCGGACCTTTAAGCTCAAAAATCCTTTGAAACACACACAATTAGACACAAAATTATCCAGTTGGAGTAGGAAAGCAGTGAAAAAATATTGGGGACCACGAAAGGTAGAACACTCAGAAGACTTCTCTCATACAGCACACACTTTATACGATGAATGTTCTTAGGACGTTTTTGAAACGCACAGGACGTTCTCCGAAACGCCTTCGGGATGTCTACGGGAGATTTGTGCGATCTATGGACTTCTGCAATACTGTTCGAAAACTAATACAAATGACGTTGTATCATAAGAAATTGAATGGAGAACAGACCGCTGATCCCCTCGAAATTGATTCGGGGGTGAGTTCTTCCTTATGACCGTCGAGAACCACGGAGGATGCTTCGGAGGACTCGGGACGTTCCTTGTTGAAGTACGAGACGTCACGATTCCGAGATGTTGAAGTGAACAGTGGGTGGCCAGCAGCAGTTTCGCGAAATAAATACCGGAACGAATACGCGACACGCGTTGCACGGGCGCGACACGCACGTGCGTATCGCACGCGCGTGCCGCGGCAAATGACGGTAACGTCAGCGTGTGCTTGAAGGATAGATGCGAGCAAGTCTACGAAAGGCGCCAGCAAACTTCGAAGGGACCTGATAAACGCCGAAATCGCGAATCTACGTGACTTACTGCCGTTACCGCCCTCGACACGCCAGAGGCTTTCCCAGCTGCAGCTTATGGCCTTGGTCTGCGTGTTCCTGCGAAAAGCCAACTACTTTCAGCAAGGTACGGCGAACGGAGAATTTGCTTACGCCTTTAAATCTTAAAGCTCTCTACCTTCTTCGTGTCTCGGAGTCACGAGCGAATTCTCTCTGCCTGGCTAAGGTTTCTATTCGGAAAAAAGTTATTAAAAAATTCAGTTTGTATAAATGTCGAAAGCGACATGTGATATTTACTGCCGAGTCTAGAGTTCTACACTGTTCGAAGATGTGTGGTAACATATTGAAATGCTATATGGAAAGAATAATTTTGCTGATTTAAAAAATTAGATAGATACAGAGAGATGAAGATAATTTTGTTGGAACATCAAAATAATTACGTAAAAAGATCGAATGTGATGAGCAACGCTTCAAAAAATTTGAACGACTTGTACAATTATTTTGATAGACAATATTACAATATTTTCTGTATTTTGTATCTAGCTAAATTTTTTAATACTTTAGCAAACAGTTCTTCCCGCATAACAATAATTTACAATGCGATATTTTACTTTTTATACGTCTAATTTTTTTAAATTTTTTATTTTTTAACGCACAGAGTTGTAAACAATTATTAATATTAGATATCAAATGTTCGCTACATCGACAGTAATCAATAATAGGATAAATTAAATATTAACATTGGATGCATTACATGCATACAAATTTAATATTGTGATTTCAGTATAACTGTTATTATTAGAACTATTAAATTATTCAAGTGCCCAGCTTATCTGCGTTTCATATCGAGGAAATTGATTTAATATGCGCGTCGCGTCACACCAAGTTACAACTTGTTACTCCATAAAATAAAGAACGGTGATAAAGCGAGTCCATCGGCGTATCTCACGATTACTATATCTTTACTGTAATTCACATCCATCGTTCGAGACTTCAATGCCGGCAAGCGCTCGTGCCATGCAATTCC